GCTAGATGGTTTTAAAGGAACGGACTACAGTGCTATTGTTTTCGCAATTGACCAAATAGCCGATGGTGGAGAGGGTAAGCAATGTTTCAAAAGTTTAAGTTAATTAAGTGGTCAATTTATTCGTTTTCCCATCTGATAGATTCATAAACAAATTTGTTTTTCTTCAAAAGTGCTTTCTTCTGTTTAGAAATTTCTGTAGTGCAGTTAAGAAACAAGAACAAGAATTACTACCGAGTAATTGCTCATTATTGACCATTTAGTGCTAAACGTTTTACAAAACAGCCTTTGCAGAAGAGCAGCAGTCACAGTTGAAATTATTATGGTCGATCAAAGCGTCAATGACTCTAATTGACAAAGTGAAATTTGGAATGTTGGGTCTGTGTCCAGTCATGCGGTAGAATTCAGAATTTCAGTATACATGATTTATTTGAGTGTAATAAGATGTCGAATGTTTGAAAGCATCAGAGGACTAGTCTCTCAGACACCAATATAGCCCAAAAAGATAGTTAAAAGTTGGGGCGAAGAGTCCAACCAGTGCCAAGTAGTGGTCAACTATCTCAGATTAAAGCAAAAATTGGCGTAAAATGCCCATCACACGAAAGATTTACCTCGCGCTTTTTATATTGCTGAGAGGAACACAGCAACATAATGGAGGAAATAATTTAGCGTAATAGCAGTTTCTCTTTTCGGTCCAATTTTGTATTTCTGTTATTTATTTTGCGCTTATCCAAACACTTTTAGAATTGCGCGCTTTGATCTTGGGCACCAGGATCGGTGGAGGACGTGCAGGAGGTCCAAAAGACATGCCGCCTATCCCCGGAGGTAACAATTAAAGGTGCGAGCCATCTCGGTTGGATCTGGCAACTTTCTGAATCGGCTTATATCAGTCTGTAACACTATCACAACAGATGAGCGCTTGAGTATGAAAGTTAATGTAACCAAAAAATTAGAAAGAAACAAGTGGAATACTGGATAGAATTGTTTCATAAAATTTCACGCTATTGCTATGAGAAGTTCAAATATAAAAATATGGAAATACAGTTTAAGTAGGAATTTCGAACAATTACAAAATATCATTGGATAAAATGGAAAAAATGCATTATGGAGTATTTAGATGGTAAAAGCCTGAAATGAGTTTTCACAATAACATAAGATTCCGAACTCTGTAATAATGGTATTTATTTATTTATTTATTTATCATAACTTCCGTTTATGTTAA